GTTAATTACGTTCCATTTAGAAATAAAATGCTATGAATACAAAGAAATACTACGTAGCCTTTAAGACTATGCCCATACCTGCTGATATGTTATCCAAAAAAAGGAAACTATAGGACTATAATATGCATATGATTCTTATTGGGTTAAAAAAAGAGCATATAGGCCGGGCACAGTGGCTCACGCCTGTAATCTCAGCAGTTTGGGAGGCAGAGGCAAGAGGATTGCCTGAGCCCAGGGATTTGAGACCAGACTGGACAACTTGGTAAGACTTTGTCTCTACAATAAACCAAAAAGTTAGCCAGGCGTGGTGGTTCATGCCTATAGTTCGAGCTACTTGGAAAGCTGAAGTGGAAGGATCGCCTGAGCCCAGCAGGTCGAGGCTCTGGTGGCCCTGGGCTGCACTCCCGCCTGGGTGACAGAGTGAGACTCCAACTCAAAAAAAGAAAGAAAGAAAGAAAGAAAGAAAGAAAAGAAATAGGCTGGGAGCAGGGCTCAAGTCAGTAATCACAGCACTTTGGGAGGCTGAGGCGAGAGGATTGCCTGAGTCCAGGGGATTGAGACCCACCTGGGCAACATGGCAAGACCTTATCTGTACAATAAATACAAAAATTAGTCGGGGACCTGTAGTTCCAGTTACTTGGAAGGCTGAGGTGAAGGATGGTCTGAGCCCAGCAGGTCGAGGCTGTGGTGGCCATGAGCATGCCATGTACTCCAGCCTGGGTGACAGAGTGAGACTCTGACTCAAAAAAAAAAAAAAAAAAAATCTAAAGATATTCTGACCCCATTAGAATTGTTAAGAGCAGTAATGGAATCAGAAGAGGTTGGGTTTCAGAGAGGCAGACTGAGCATAGGTGGGAACAAGGGCAAGCACAAGCACCAGGTGTGCCGATGCAAGGGTGCATAGGAAGGGTGAGAAACAGAAGGGACAAAGTCAATACACCTGGTAAGCCTGGGTTCTTCCAGTCTGCAAACATGCCCACAAGTAACTTCCTGTCTGATACCTGGTATCTTCAAGGGCTGGAACTGGCTCTGGATGCCCCTTTTGTAGTGGTCCTCAACCCTTTTGGCATCAGGGACCAGTTTCATGGAAAACAATTTTTCCACAGACCAGGGGTAGGGGGGGATGGTTTTGGGATGATTCAAGTGCATAATATTTATTGTGGTCTTTATTTTTATTACATTGTAATATATAATGAAAAAATTATACAACTCACTATTTATAAAAAAGAGGCATGAACGGAAGTGGTAAATAAAATAATGGGCAGGCAAGGGCCAGGCGTGGTGCCTCACGCCTATAATCCCAGCACTCTGGAAGGCTGAGGTGAGAGGATTGCCTGAGCCCACAGGTTTGAGACCAGCCCGGGCAACTTGGCAAGACCTCTTCTCTACAATAAATAAAAAACTTAGCTGGGTGTGGTGGCGTGTGCCTGTAGTTCCAGCTACTTAGAAGGCTGAGGCAGAGGGATCACCTGAACCCAGCAGGTCGAGGCTGTGGTGGCCATGAGTGTGCCACTGCACTTCAGCCTGGGAGACAGAGTGAGACTCCAACTTAAAAAAAAAAAAAGGGTGGCCCACGCACTGACTAAAATAAGTGTTGGATTCTGACTTAAAGCCTGCCACCAGATGCATCTGTACAACTGAAGTACATCAACTCACCACTCATTGATAGACTTTTGATGAGTCTTGCAAGCAACTGATTTATTATAGTCTCTGTGCAGTCAAACGTCACTGCTAATGTTAATCTGTATTATTTATTTATTTATTTATTTATTTTGAGTTGGAGTCTCACTTGGTCGCCCAGACTGGA